AGAGTGGGGAGCAGAGCAGGCAGACAGATGCAGTCCACTGCAGAGGGGAGCAGCGGGGAGACAAGAGGTCTGCGCGCCCTGTGGGCCACTCCCTGGCGGGGATCGAGCTCGTGCTAGAACAGCTGCAGCCAGCTTCGAAGTGCTGCTCCCCGCTGTGCCACCAGGGAGGGCCCCACTATTCATTTTCTACTTTAAAGTTTTCAGTAAAACGCCCAGTCCCATGAGTTAGCATTCGGGACCCACCGCTGGGGGTGCAGGGGCTAAGCGAGACAGGCCAGAAAGCAGTCGGCAAACAGCAAACACAATTTCGCTAGCAAGCGGATAAAGAAACAGGAGACGGGGCGTCCCAAAAGGAGGCCCGTGGGCTGCGGGAGACTGTGGGTGGTGGGCGGGAGCCCTATCACAAGGTGGGACCCTGCACCCCAAGCCACACACAGTGTCGCACACCACCGTTACCACCATGAAAGTAAAGAGAAATAAAGAACATGAGCACGATGAGGGGCAAATGGCAAGAGGCAGAAATGCCTTCGAATTAAGTTGCAATTAAATGTATTTCCCACAGAAACAGTCAGTAGTCAGGACTGACGTGCTCAGGCAGGCAGCACAAACACTGAAGCTGGAGCGCTACAAAGAGGACTGGCTAGCTCCATCCACAAGATACCCCATTCAGGATCGTACAAACCCTCACTACCCAATGCAGCACAGGCCAGGAGGGTCCCCGACAATTCAGCATTAACGTCTCTCTCGGAAAGAAATGACAATTCTGCTTTATCACAAAGTTAAAAGATTTCACGAGGGTAAAACCTACGACTAGGCTAAGTAACAACATGCCTACACATTCTTACCAGGTAATTACCAGCGCAGGCAGCAAAGAAACCTGCTTCAGTGGTTTCGCCTTAGCCATTCCGTGGAGAAACGAGCCAGGCAGTGGTAACCGATAATCTCATCAGTCATTCACAAGTTTAGGCTATGACAGCTGTAGCTGTTTTCAACTCAAGAACCATCATGAGGAAAAAGTAACTTTTAAGATCTTCCTGGCAAGGTCCAGTGCTCCTAAAAGTCAAGACTAATAATCAACCCCAGGGCCTCAACTCTAAGGCATTACTTTGTGTAAGTCACTGCTGACACTTCTGTTCTCATGAAGATCTCAACTTAATAGCACAGGTAGGTTTCCAGGGGTAAAACTATATGCACTTTTAATTACGTCACAGCAAATATCACAGAGGACAGCACGCAGCAGATCATTCAGAAATGCGAAACCCGAGCGTGAGCAGCCACAGGCCGTTTGTCCGGGCCCAGGGGCTGCGGGGGGCAGGGGACTCACTGGTGGAGTTGCCTTGCATCTGGATGATGCACTTGGAGTCTCTGCTGCTCTCCCGAGAGTTGAAGGGCCGCACGCGGACGGCCACCTTCACGGAGGCCCCCGACATCCTGAGGGCGGGTGACAGCGCAGTCCAGAGAGAGCAGACCTTCCTGGGAAGTTAGAGCCAAGTTTCCTATAAAAAGAAAAAAATCCCAAAGGTAGTCAGAATTTTTAAAAACAGGCAGAAAAGCTACTTATTACTACCTTCTATCTCAGTACCATTTCTGCTTCCAGGGCTAGAAAGTCAGTTTTCCTTCCCTACTGAATCTTGTATTTCCAGCAATAAACTACCAGACATAGAACATTTTAAAAATTAAGCTCGTTTTCCTACTCCATTACTTTTTTTTTAACCAACCCTGGCAAGTACCCCAATTTTATCTTAAATATACAAGTACAAGCAAAGCACAGGCATCGGTGCCCGCTGTTTTTCTGGATCAATCTTCAGTAATACAGGAAAAACATAAAATGTCATCGCTCACACAATTAACTTTCCATTTGCCAAACCACTCGTTATTTATGTTTCTTTAAAGAAACGCACGAACTTTCTAAAGTTTCATTAGCTCCACCTTCGCTTTCCCACCTACAATTAAATGGCAAAGGACAGAGATGCGCCCCAGCCGCCTCCTTCCAGGAACCTCTGCAGCTGCAAGCCTGCTAAAGCCGCCCAGTGCCAGGCCCGGAGGCTCCCAGACACCCAGCTCTCTGATGTGTCAGAGGCCTGGCAGGATCAAATCAGGACGAGTCACTGAATAATGAAGCCATAACAAAACCGTGAACATTTTTCAGAGGAACTTTCCCTCCCAGAAGAACAAAACACTCTCCCATGGGAAAAGGGGGAAAACCACAGTCATTTCCACAAAAAAACAAAAGATCTTTTTAACCTCCAGCTGCATGACTACCAATGAAGGCTTTCCCTTGGAAAAGTCAAAATAGGTAAAATAAAAACAAAACCCACCCCGCCAGCACCTCAGAGGGGAGCGAGATGAAGCTCGTCCGCAGCTCAGAACAGGGGCTGATCCAAGAACTCAGTGAGTGTTTTTTTTTTTTAATTTATTTTCATTTATTGATGCACACAGAACTGGGGTGTAGGCCAGAGGTGCGGGGTGCGAGGGTTCCCCAGAGACGGGGCAGGGAGCAGAGCAAGTGGCTCCACTGACACCCACTGCTGAGGGAGCAGCGGGGAGACGGCAGCCGCCCGGGGTCACTCCCTGGCGGGATCAAACTCAGGCTAAAGTGGCTGCAGACAGCTTCTGGGTGCGGAGACTTAACCCCCTGCACCACGAAGCAGGCCTCGGCGGATGCTTATTGAAGAAATGAATGTATTTCCCAGTCAGGAGAATTCTCTGTTCGCACCTTTGTCTGGCTTACTGACTGTTTTGTTTCAACAAACACAGTATTTATGGACAGTAGCGTTTACACCGGCTACAATGTTTTCCCCACTCTGTTTCTCATTTTATTTTAAACACATAATTTTTAAAAATATTTATTTATTTGTGCATACAGAATGGGGATATAGGCCAGAGGTGCAGGGGCGGTGAGAGGCTTCACCAGAGGCAGAGTGGGGTGCAGAACAGGCCGACTGGCAAGGCACACTGCTGAGGGGAGCAGCGGGCGGGCCAGGAGAGGTCTGCTGCCCATGTGGGTCAGCTCCGGGGCGGGGAATGAACTCATGCTGAAGTGGCTTTTAGCTTAGTGCTGTGATTTACCTGCTGCGCCACCAGGGAGGGCCCTTAAACAGATGAGTTTTACTGTGATGACACTGAGCTTTTGCAATCAAGCCATATGACCTACGTGATGACTAGATGCGCACTTTCCCAAGAAAGTGAATGACGCTTTCAGAAAAAGCCGGACACAGAACACCTTTCTAGCCCCCGAGACCGATCACCTGACCACAGTTGTCACCCAACACTCAACAGGCCCCATCCTCTTCTCCCCCAAACCAGAAACCTCTGCCACAGACACACCTCTAGGGTCATCTTCTTGTTGAATCCTTTTCTCAGTGTTCGCAATATTAGCACCACACCACATGAAGATGTTGAAGACGATCTGCACTTCTCCGTCCTCCCCCTTCACCCCACTGCCAGGCCCTGGCAGCTCCGGCCTCCCTCACTTGCCCTAGCCAGGTCTGGGCCGTTACTTTTAACCAACAGTCCCTAAACAGGGAGGCTGAATACAGAATCCCACGGCGGTCTTTGTGAAGCAAACGAGCACAGACCCCGGCCTGGTCCTGGGCAGCCCTGGGACAGCTCCAGAGCTGGGCTTTCTGGTTTTGTTGTTGTCCACTCTCCAAGGAGGACCAAGCAAGTCCCCGCGTGCCCCTTGCGTCCCTCCAATCCCACTTCCGAGAGGCTCAGCCCCTGTCGAGCGCCTTTCCTACCCACTGGCTTTGGGCCTCCTAACCAGGCGTGAGGACGCTTTTTATGGTGTCTTCTGCCCAGGGCCACCTTCACGTTCACCTCTCCCAAAGCCAGGTACCCAAACACTCCTGGAATGGGGTTTCCTGCCTCCCCTCCTGTCCGTGCACCACCACGGTCCCAGACCCTCACCAATCTCTGAATTTGGGCTTCTTGGGAAAATGGTTCATTCCAAATCCCAGTAAGGAATTTCCAAATGATCCCAGGACACTGGATGCCTGAAAGCACGGAAGCTAAGAAACATGAGTGAGGTGGGGCAGGAAGACACAGGCACCAACCTGACTGGGCCCTGGATAAGAGGATCAGGGTAAACAGGTGAAAATGAATGGGAACAGTACGAAGCAAGTCACGCGCGCCTAACTCCTTTAAAACATCGTCACTCTGCAGGGGGCAAAGACACCGCGCAGGCGTGCGGGCCACACAGGTCCCCGAGGAGCCAGGCGCCAAGTCAGCGCGGGGAAGCTGGTGACAGAAACACGCCAGCGTAACGCAGCCTGATGAGCGCAGAGGAGGGACGGCGCAGGGGCTCGAAGGCTCCTGGCCACCGGCAGGGGCTAGGGAGAAAGCCTCAGAAGGGAAGCCTGCTGCCCACGGCTTGTTGTTGGGCGGGCCGGGCAGCGCTGCTCCAGCTTACACTCGACGTCACTGCGGGGCGCTGGGCCTCCACCCTACTGTGCCTCCACGCACCCCAGTGTTGGGTCCCCCCCCTTGAGCAAGCCCAACCTCCTCTGCTTGTGGGGAGCAGGTTAAACGACACCTAAAGACAGTCAACCCCAGACCAGGGGAAACGCGTTGCTTCAGGTAAACAGTGTAACGGAGCGGGGAGAAGAGTGGAAATCAGAGCTGTGTCAATGACCAACCAAATGTGGTGGTTTTAATCAAAATCTGGAAAGACTTTTTAAAGATAATCAGGAAAATGTGAACAGAGCGATATTAGAAGATAAGAGAAGTCCGCTGGTTTGCCAAAATGCCAGTCACTACTGAGTACTGCAGATATTTAAATTTAAAAGCACGGCTTTCTTCCTCTGCGTCCTCCCCAGGGGCTCCCGGTGTGGAGAGCTGTGGCCTGCACCCCGACAGCACACTGGGGCCCCTCTGCTGGGGCGGGGCCACCCAGGCTGGGCCTCAGTGGCAGGCGCCCCACTCCCACGGCTCTGGGGGGCCCTCACGGGCTCGCCCGCGCCCTGACAAAAGCAAAGGCAGAGGCGGCCGGGCCCAGACCACTGAGTGCCTCCGCCGCCTCTGAAACGCCTCTGTACGTTCTCACGCAGCCCAGACACCTGCTCCTTCTCTCGCCAGCGCGCCCACGCTGGCTGGCAGGGCTCTTCCCAGTAAGCGCTCCATCTCACACCGCCACCCTTCCAGGCCTTTAGCCGTCTAGCCCAGGCTGACGCCCGGCGCCCGCGCTGCCCAGCCCAGCCGCCCGCACCAGGGCCGCCTCGCCCCGCACTGCCTGCGCCCTCCCTGAGCACAGGTCCGCTCACGGCCCAGCCCGTGAAGGCCCTGGGTTTCCCTGCTGTTGACCAAGCGAGGCCCGAGCCGGGGGCCCCCAGCACCCGGGAGCTCTGCCGCCCGCCGCCCACATCTCAGCATCCACATTCCTCAGCCGCCACCGAGGCTTCCCGAGAGCGGCTCATGCTCTGTCCTTTGTCCCAGTGTTCCCTGCCCACTGTGCTCTCCCCCCTCCCCTGCTCCAGAATCTTCCCAGCGCTCCCTCGCCGAGGCCCTCAGACTCGCCACACCTACCACACCAAATGCCACTGCTTCCCCACTAAACACGTCTCAACTCACCAGCCTTCCCCGAGACACCAAGGTTGTCATCTCTGCCGCGGAGAACAACAGAACCTGCGTCACAGCCTCCTGAACATAGTAGTTAAGATATATTGGCTGACTTCCTAGCCACTGTCAATATACTTACGGCTGAAAGGCATTAATAAAAAACACAAGCTGCTCCAAAAGAAAAAATGGTAAAAATTTTAATTTCTTCCTAATTAAAAAAGCTACAATGTTATTTTTGGCAGTGATATATACATGTAAGGTTACTTTCCCCAAACCACCTGAACCTGGGGCCTCCCTGGTGGCCAAGGGGTTGAGTCTCAGCACTATCACCACTCTGGCCTGAGTTCGATCCCCGGCCAGGGAGTGGCCCCCAGGGCGCAGCAGCCCTCTCCTGTCTCCCCGCCGCTCCCCTCAGCAGTGTGTCTCAGTAGATCCACCTGTTCTTTGGTGAAATCTCTCACCTGAACTTAGATATTTCTTTCTGATTAGTCCTGAGGAGACTACACCCAGGTGGCGGCCCTCAAGCCCACCTGTGACTATGCAGGTGCTTCTTTTCGCCAACCTCCCTTTCTGGGGCAGCTTTTTCTGCCTGCTCCTGTCTCTGCAAGTGTCTGTTATTCTTCTCTCCCTTTTTATAACAAACCTACCCTTTTGGATATAAAGCAAAGAAACCACAACCATCTTGTCAGAGTTAATATGTTGCACAATCACAGGAAACAACAGGTAAGTGGACAACAATCACTTTGTTACTCCCCTACTCCTACAAACTGTATCTTTTTATATAACATGGCTGTCAAAGAACCACAGCTTCAAAACTCTTGAAATACCAAATAAATAAATGTCAAATCCAGTCTGAATTCCAGTGAGGAACAGTAATTACAGAACTATTTCAGGAAGTTATAGAAAAGCAATGCTTCTCATAATTGATAGAAAAAC